GGGAAAAGTCGGGGTTTTTATCGAATATAAGTAGAATAGACGCTTCCTCTTCCTCTGATTTGTTCAGACAAGGAGTGCTAGATTGCTTAAACCGCGCCCTTTTTCAGGCGGAAAATGATTTCCTAAGGATGGTTGAGCAAGAAATGGAAGAAAGACCGGATTTAGTATCCGTTGGATCTTGCGTTCTGGTCACTCTCCTAGTCGGGAAGGATCTCTACATCTTGAATTTAGGTGATAGCAGAGCGGTTCTAGCGACTTACAGTGGTAAGAAGAAGCTGCAAGCTGTTCAGCTCACAGAGGATCACACAGTTGATAACGAAATCGAAGAAGCTAGGCTCTTAAGTGAACATCTTGATGATCCGAAAATCGTCATTGGCGGAAAAATCAAAGGAAAGCTTAAAGTTACTCGTGCTCTAGGAGTTGGTTACTTGAAGAAGGTATTGATACTTGAAAGGAAATATCAAAATAGCTTCTTATATTTTGGTTTTTTCTTTTAATCCGCTAAATCCGTTGTCCGTTGCAGGAGAAATTGAACGATGCACTGATGGGAATCCTCCGTGTTCGTAACCTTTTGAGTCCACCTTATGTTTCAGTGGAACCATCACTGAGAGTACACAAGATAACGGAATCAGATCACTTCGTTATAGTTGCGAGCGATGGTTTGTTCGATTTCTTTAGCAACGAGGAAGCGATTGAGCTAGTTCATTCCTTTCTTTTTAGTAATCCTTCTGGTGATCCTGCAAAGTTTCTACTTGAACGTCTTGTAGCTAAAGCTGCTGCTCGTGTTGGTAAAGCTTCTCTTTTCTTAATGTTTTAACTTCTCTTTCATAACAAGATCTGCAATTATTCGTTATCTATAACAAGTGATAAACTCTTGATCTTTCTTGTAGGTTTCACGTTGGAAGAATTGATGAATGTTCCGGCTGGTCGGAGAAGGAGATATCATGATGATGTGACTGTAATGGTAATCACTCTCGGTACCGATCAACGGACTTCAAAGGCTTCTACGTTCGTGTGATTTTGATGATTTTAGTGATTAAAGATGATGGCGATAAATCTTGGATTGGTGAAACTAACTGTAGATAGTTATTGGTCTTCTTTTAGACTTCTGAAACTATTCTTGAGTTGGTACGTATAGATTGGTGTCTTAGTTTTTGGCCTTTTTGGTGTTTAGTCGGTTTGGTTTATTACCTTGGATTCTAAGTTGTAACATAGAATGAAATAAAATTGTTGAATTTGAGAGCTTAATTTCTTGATTTGTTTTTTAATCGAGTAGTTTATCAGCATTTCCATCTTAGATAATGCAAAAAAAGTAACACAGAAATAAAACGCCCACCGTGGGGCTCGAAC